GTGAGGGCGGGGTGCTGATCACTGTAGGTCAGACTCAAAGGCCTCTGTACCACCTGGTTTCTGGCTGGGTTTGACCAGCAAAGGCACAGGCGGGATATGGTAAGAAGAAGTAGGAAGTCACCGCTCGTCCCGCGACAGACACCAGCACTGTGCGGGGACCCCACCCGGGCCCAGCCTCGTTGGTTTCCGAACTGGAATTCAGCAGCTAACCCACCCAAGAGCAGGTACTTGGAAGTTTCAGATGGACAGATTTTGTTTATTAAAGGATTTTTTAAGAAATGTATCCTGTTTTCATTTTGCCCCGCAGCCTTGTAGGATTGATGACTTTAGTTAGGTCCCTCTGTTCTGGGGGGACTGTGGGGGAGGGGAGACGCTGTTATAAGACTGGTTAACAGAGCAAACAGGACTTTAAGATGATAGCTTCTTTAATGTCCCCGGGAGACAATCTGCTGTTGGAGGTGAAATGAGAACGAGGGAGGCAGAAACAAGGAGGCTCCAGAAGCGCGCTGGGCAGTCCCAGCCTCTGAAGGAGTAAAGGGTTTCATGTGTCCTCTTTCCTGCAAAGCCCCCCAAAACAAAGGCACCTTCCGAGATGGTTTATTAGCAGAGTTGATTACATTTCAAAGGCTTGAGGTCTAAAGAGAAGAGGCCCCAGGTACTGAGCAGGCAAGGCCATCCCTGGAAGTCTGACTCTGCAGTTCAGGCCCCTGAGGCCTGGGGTGCCAGCCTGGGCAGCAGCAGCCCACCACAGACTCGTCAGTGGGCATCATTAAGCTGCCGGGCGACGTCCAAGATGTTCTTGGCTCCTTTGTTCAGCAACAAGTTGGCCAGGCTGGTGCCCAGGTTCTCAGCAGCCAGCTGGGCTGCTCGTGGAATGTTCTGGGCAGTGATGCCCACCAACTGTGGGTCATCTTCAGGGCCATCTTCATGCTGGGTGAGGGAAGAACGGAGGGTTTGGTGAGCACTCAAGGGGAGATGAGGCAGGCTTGTTCCTTGCCCTTCCCTCACCCTCGCCTTGGCACCTGGGCAGGGACGTGGATGGTGGCCTGCATGGTCTCCTGCATGCTCTCTGAGCCATCCAGACTCCAGACGCCTCCAGTCAGGTACAGCTGGGAAGGACACAGGTGCCTTAGTATATCCTGGGAGGAAGCCACTTGGAATCCAGAGCTCTTGCTGGCAACATGGGACGCACAGGGAGAAATGCCAGTCCTTCCCTACCTTTCCACCCACTTCCCTGCTTACTTGTCCATCCTGAATAGCTGTGTGCACTGCTACAGGTACGCTGCAGCCTCCTTCCTGCAGGAAGAAGGTCTCCCCGTGAACCCCAAAGACCTTAACTACCCTGTGCCCAGAGTCCAGAATTCATAGGCCTGTGAGGACATCACTGAAAAGGAGGCTAAGGGCCCAGACCTGGGTCTTCTTCACACACAACATTCAAGAATAAGTTACCAGCCCTGGCCGGTTTGGCTCAGTGGATAGAGCATCAGCCTGCGGACTGAAGGGTCCCAGGTTCGATTCCGGTCAAGGGCATGTATCTTGGTTGCGGGCACATCCCCAGGAGGGGGTGTGCAGGAGGCAGCTGATGGATGTTTCTCTCTCATTGATGTTTCTGACTCTCTATCCCTCTCCCTTCCTCTCTGTAAAAAAAAAAATCAATAAAATATATTAAAAAAAATGTTACCATTAAATACAGAGCATTAATGTGACAGTCTCCCCACCACCCTTCCCAACTCCTGTGCCACCACAGGTGGAACACGGGCCCTACCAGGTGCCTTAGGAAGGCTCGTTCGGCAATGCAGCAAAGCAGGGTCTCTGGATGGTGCAACATGCCCACCAGGTCCAAGATGTCCTGGTCCTTGGCTCGCACTTCCACGCCCAGGGCCCCCTGATGGAAGAACAGCCTAAGACAGCGGTTCTCAACCTTCCTAATGCCGCACCCTTTAATACAGTTCCTCATGTTGTGGTGACCCCCAACCATAAAATTATTTTCGTTGCTACTTCATAACTGTAATTTTGCTACTGTTATGAGTCGTCATGTAAATATCTGATATGCAGGATGTATTTTCATGGTTACAAATTGAACATAATTAAAGCAGAGTGATTAATCACAAAAACAATATGTAATTATATGTGTGTTTTCCCATGGTCTTAGGCAACCCCTGTGAAAGGGTCGTTCGGCCCCCAAAGGGGTCGCGACCCACAGGTTGAGAACCGCTGGCCTAAGACCTCAGACCCAATCTTTTTCCGACCAATGGAGCTAAGGGTGGGAACCAGCCCACCTTCAACTGCTCCCCAAGGCCCTTTGATCGAGTAGCCTTCCAAGGCCTGCCCCTCCCTGGGAACTTTGATGCACATGGTTGTAAAACCAGCTCCTTGGGCAAGCATACCTGACCCACAGCGTACATGCATTCCTCGGGGTGCAGGATCTGTGGGGGCAGAACAGGCAGAAGTATAGAGACAGAGTGACATACTGCAGTGAGCGGGGGCTCCCTATCAGACAGACAGCCTGGACAGGCAAAGGAGGGAGTCAGGCTCGGATTCCCAATCTTCCCTGAAACTTCTTTCCAGCTTAGTGTTAGAGGCAGGGTGTTCAAAAAGAACATTAGCTACCACTAAATACAGGCAGGGGGTAAAGATGCACTGGGAGGGGAAGGGCTGGTCCCACCTGCCCCACGCGGTTCTGCCAGCCCAGGCGCTGCAGGCCCGCTGCAGCCAAGATGATGGCACTGAACTCCTGCAGCTCGTCCAGCTTCTGAAGCCGAGTGTTGAGGTTTCCCCGCTGAGAGGTGCTAAGGACATGCGCATTGTTCTCTGCCTGAAACTTTCTAGCTGCCTAACTTTTTAAAAATTAAATCTTTATTGTTGAAAGTATTACATTTGTCCCCTGT